AAATCGGAACCGGTTTTATATTAAATTCGGGTTGAACCAGTTTTAATTCGATTGTGTTGAACCGGTTCCAACCTCTATTAGCAAAAAAGACAATGATAAATATTTATCTATTTCTGAAAAATTTGATATACATAAAGACCAATCTGATATTGAACAAGAATATTACAATAAATCATTGTATTAAGTAAAACAAATAACAATATAATTCATATATATTATGACTGGGATCAAAATGTTTCAATCCCTAACTCTCCTCAACAAATAGGAGCAACTTACTTTAAAATAACCTTTACTGCCCTTATTTTTGGTATTTGTTGTACTGGTAATAAAAACAGATAACTTAATTTTATTGTTGAAGAAAATGAATTTCCTGTAGGAACAGGAAAAAGTGCAAATTCCACTCTTAAAATGGTATTTTATTCTCTTAAAGAATTAAAAAAAAAAGAAAAAATACTTCTAAAAGTTACATGTAATAATTGTGGAGGACAAAATAAAAATAATCTATCTTTATAGTTTTGGCTTTGGTTAATAATGATAGGATGGTTTGATGAAATTGAATTAAATTTCATGATTCCAGGACATACAAAATTTGTATGTGATAGATATTTTAGAAATTTTAAAAAACTGTATTATAAAAATAAAAGTAATACTGTAGATGATCTAGAACAAATAATTAATACATCAATAACTGCAAATGAAGCAGTAAGATATAATGAAGGTTTGGGTTGAATTTGGTATGATTTTACTTCATTTCTTTCACCACATTTTAAAGGACTTCCAGGTAAAACCAAATTTTATCATTTTCAATTTTCAAAGTTAGAGTTATGGAAAGTGTATTTTTCTAAAGAAGCAGGTGGTAAAGAAATTCTTTTTGTTTTACTTTTTAATAATGACTTTAATTTTGAACAACTTCCTTCGATCCTTATTACTCAACCTCTTACATTAAAACGTCAATGGTATTTGTATAACAAAATTCGTTAATATGTTGACGAAAAATTTAAAGATGTTTTATGTATTCTTCCAATTAGTAATAATGATAATGTTTATATAATAAAACATTTTTTATTTTGGTATTTAATAAATTAAAAATTGTTATAAAAAATAATTTATTTTATATACGTGAACAATAACTTAGAATATTAAAAAAAAGGTACTCTGAAAAATATTTAAATAACGTAATGAAAAATCCATTCTTACAAAAAATAAAATAAAAATTTTAATTAATTTATTAATACAGTATTTTACATCCCTCCTTCATAGGACTATGGTGAATAAAGGAGTCAATCCAGAGGGATGCGCTTCCGTATAGTTGCGGGATGAAACTATAATAGGCTAATGTCGAAAGTCAAAACCAAAACCGTTGAAAGTCTAAACGTTTCGACAGGTTTCGGCGGGTTTAAATAGGCGTTGAAACGTCTAAACTTAGTCAAAACTTCGGACCAATCATAATCGGTCATTCGTGTTCATCATTTTCAAATAAAATTTT